GACGAAAGCTTAGCACCTTCTACTGGAATCGAAGGAGATTATCTCGGAAACAGCATCACCATGAATGTTCGAGTAAAGCCAATCGACAGCTAGTCAGGAATCCGTCGTCATCTTCTGGTAGAATCGACCTTCAAATCTCTTCACCTAACAATTTCACTCGAAATGGAAGTAAGTTCAACAATAACAATGATATTCTTCTCTAATGACGTCCATCATACGACTGAAAAAAATTTGACGCGCTTTCACCGAAATAAGCGACTGCTCTCGAATTTCCTCAGCAAGAATATTTTAGTAAAGCCAACAGGAATTTCGAGTCGTCTTTTGGAGGGATCGACCTTAGAATCTCATAAATTTCGACCCTAAATATTACCAAGCTCAACTATGCGACAATAGACAATTGAAAGCAGATTGGGGAGTGGTAATGTTACGCATTAAGGACAAATGACAGATTCAGGTGGCAAAGCTAGAGGATTGAAGAGGATATTCCCTGACCAATCAACTTTAAAGTTTCAATGCTAAGGATTTATTGCTCATCATATGAAAATGTATGCGGTCATTTCTATAGTGCTTGGCATCAAAGGCTCAAAGGGACAAGGAACTTTTGGCTTAGAGACGCCGTAGAGTTAGAATCAATTGGAATTTTGTGCAACTAAATGTAAACAGGAGGAATTGTAAGGCTAATCATTAGAGTAGTCTTTCAATCGGTCAGTAAGCAAAAATTGAGGATTTGTGAGTCAATGAGCCTTCTGCATAACAACATCCTCTTTCAATTTTAAAATTTTACCCAATCCCTTTTTATTTTAGGATCCCCAATCCACTCTTATAAACTTATAAAGTTTGAGTACAGTAGTCTACGATAGCCTCTTTTTTGTACAGCTGTTGCTAGTACTCAAGTTTCATGCCTCTTTCCTCATACATTTATCTACACCGTATATACATACTCACTCTCGTTTCAGCTATAGCCACAAATAGCGAAATGCTTGTTTTTAAAAGTGGACAAAGTTTATGGTGGAGAATTCGTGGTTTCCAGAGCAAGCAGTAGTGAAAGTGATTACTTTGCAGAAACGCTTTGATCTCAAGGCTATCAGTGAATCTGATTCTGAAGTAAAGGCCCCTCACCGATGACTTGATGTCTAAAGGTCTAATCTACACAATTTTACCGATAGGAGAAAATAAAATTTTGTTTAGGATGTCATGCGCAAATCATTGGCGATGGCAAGCACACTTCCTAGCCCTGAATCTCAGTGTACAAGGTGAAAAGATTGTAATTTATTAATTACATAGCGCAATGAGATTCCAGGGCAAAAACAAGTCTTCTTTTACTACATCCTGAACAGACCACGATTATAGGCAAAAGTGAAGTTTCGTGGTTAGAGTGTGGATTAAGATTTAATGTTAGTTTTCAGGATTGCCAGTATAAAAGATCCCATGGAGGAGCTACTCTACGTAGGCAAACTGATTTAGTATCTAAAATACTTTATGCACTTTCAGAAAGAAAGGGACTCGGAATCAAGTTGATTAGTGATATTGAGACAACAGCTCTTGTTGTAATTTCAATTAAAAAACAATGAAGAAAGAAATTATCATTAAGCGAATCAAGCACTTGAAAAGGCAAGCACAATTCAAAAATATAATTATAAATGTGCGTTGAAGCAATAGATTTATACTACTAGATTGAGATGCACAATTTCGCCCAGAGCGATACACAAGCACATATGCACATGTAAGCTTACACATTTGTACACACACAAATAAGAGCATAAGGCAAACGAAATCCTATTGAGGTTTGTCATAATACTCTACGAATTATGTAAAAATGAATAAATGCAAGAAGACTTTATTCAACTTTTGTGTGAGCTAGGAAGATCCCATATCAAACAAAGGCTTAGCACTATTTGAACAAGGATGTATGAAAGGTTTTCAGGATTCCTACACTACAGTAGATGACAGCATCAAAAAGCTCTCAACTTCCTTCTGCTAAAATTTTATCCTAGGTCGCTTAAAATGATTTGATTGAAAGTTAAGTTGCTGTTGAATCTCACATAGTTTGGCCTCTCTAAAAATTTTATTTTTCAGAGTGGACTGCAGCTTCAACCTCGCCTAGGCCTCACTAGCACCTGCAACGGGATCCGATACCAGGTCCGGAGTATCGTGGCATTGTTACCAATCCACTACACAGACACGGATATCAGTTAGCACAGGGAAGATGAGAATTCAAGAAAAGCCAAGCTGCTATCAACTCGAATGAGATTGTCGATTAAGCAAACATGTGACAAGCTTTTGGAAGGCAAAGCCAAGTAAAATTCAATAACATCGCCAAACCTACTCATATAATTTTGGGAAAAGTGAACTATCCGTCTTTAAATCACCTTAAGAACCCGACTGACCAAGTACTTATTCAGAAATTACAAATAGTCTTGAAAGCTACTCACAGCGAAAGGCATGGAAAGATAAAAGTACGATAAACATTTCACAATTAAAAATCGCTTCAAAATCAAGGCTATCATTGAATAAGGGGTGATACAACTGCCTCAGATGAAAAGGTTTTATTTATGCCAAGTCAGAGCTTGAAGATATTTTGGCGTGATCCTGTCGGCGTTCCAGATAGTAAAAGGCCTCAAAGAAGACCTGTTAAAAAATGATAAGCAGAGCAATGCTAAGTGAATATATTGGAAATAATAAAAAATGAGTTAAGTATTACTATGCAATATTGCATGTTTAACACACTAGCATATTGCGATTTATAGGTGGATTCATTAAGAGATTTTGTATAAGCTGAAGAGGAGAACGACAAATCAACTTATTACAAGAACATGCTACTTACTAGATGGCAAGCTCTAATTTGTGTGTAGACGCGGGATAGTCTATGGGCTAAAAAGAAATCGACTTTAAGCGCAAGATAAAAGTATATTGAACCCACTTCCATTTAGAGTTAAAGTATTTGATGAATGGATACGAATGTCAATCCCATCAGCGAGCGGCGACGGAATCCTCTTGGCTAGCTGCCAGTTGGATTTACTGGGGCATTTACTGACGCTGCCCCAGAGGCAATCTTACTCGTTTTTGATTAATAAGTACTTAGCTTTCGTACTTTATGTGATGGAAATCATCAAAGCAGGGAAAGGCGAGATCGAAGCCGCAGTAAACACTTAGTAGAAATACCTTATGAAAGACAAGGCTAACTGAAATTCATTGGTATCGTGAAACCTATTCATATTGTTGTATGAAAATTAAATTACCAGCCCTTAATCATCTTATGCTAACTAGGGCGAATACAGTTCTTATCCAAGATATATTGGTAGTTTCGAAACCTACTTAATCTTATATAAAATATAAACTAGTTTTCTTGTCGGTATTTTGTAAAACTGAGTTCATTTTGTCCAACATAATTACCCTCATAATCTTAAGCTTAGGAAGCAATTTTGAAAGGAATTAAACAAGGGATAATCTGTATAAATTACGAGAAAAATTATTAAGAAGTGGATATCAAATAGTGGAAGAAAAGACCTGCCTCCACTAGAATAAGAACGATAATCATCCACTCAAGCCGGGAAGAATGCCTCGAGTGGAGATGGTCAGAGAGTATTTGCGTCAACTCGCAACACATAGTTAATTTAGTGGAGAGAATCTGCAAAGTAATAAGAATGCGTAAAATTGTATTACTCGAAAAATAAAAGGGAAAGAATGACTGTCAAGGCAAAGGGGATTAGGATTTATTAGTAAAGAACTTGCATTCAGCAGAAATATTTAAATTTGGAGAATGTCGCCTCTCCAAACAACAGAGTATCCTATGGTAGAAATACTTTTTCAAATAACCAACAGATGACATTTGATCATTTAACCATAGCAGAAGTAATTTTGAATAATTTGGGAAGATTCACTTTGCTTCGAGCCAAGGCGTATTGGAGGGTATGATAGAAATGAAATAGTATAAAGGATAATCGTCTGGCTGAGAGAGGGCTACCGTGACTCAAGCATCTACTTACCCGAGTTCGTGAATTTACGCTAAATGCGACCTTAAGATCATGAAACAGTCGCTCGATTTGTGGTCGATCCCAATAGAAATCCGGAGTCTCTGTCATGTTGCGACTGACTGTCAATTGATGCCTAAGCATGAGTAAAGGAAACAATAAGCAAAAAAATCAGGTTGTAAATGACGAGACCTAATGGAAAAAAATAATTTCAGTGGGAAGAGAAAACTATTGTTTTAGACTAAAGGTTGAATAGAAAAATAAGTCCAATTTTGAGGACTATAAAGCATAAGCCTACCTAAGTTTGAAGAGTTCACCAACCTTGCGCATCACAGAAGCTTGACGGAAATAGAAGGCTGTGATGAGAGGACCTCCTTTGATTTTCTAAATCAATCCGGAAAGATGCACGTTTAATTTTAAATGTGGATGATGAAACTTTAAGGCAAACGAAATATAAGCAAATATATAGTTAAGTAATGTGAATAATGATGATTGATTTTATTCGAAGATGACTATCATACCGAAAATTATCCAACGATCTAAGCTGATAACCATTGATGGATAAGATAAAAATATGAATATAATATAGTGCCTAGGAGGTCGCAAGAGTTCGTACATACAATTTATATCACGTAGAAAGAGTCGGAAGAGAGCCTATGAATAATTTCGGATTCTATAAAATTGCAAGTAAAAAAATATCTAACAATGAATTGGCTCTATAGAAAAATGCGTTTTACTTGTTTAAGCAAAGTCCTCAGTAAGCATATAATGAAATGAAATAAAAGTAAGAATGAAATAATCCTACTTACTTCATACCAAGGTTCCAATTCTTCGGCCACTTTGTCGAATTCGAACTCAATCATAGACAACTCGACTAAATGTCAACAACAGAAGCGTGACAATGAATTAAATTGAATTAAACAAGAAATATACTTATTTTCAAAAAAATCGTCAAAATCAAATGGGACGAAATAAAAGAAGATTGAAAAAAAAGTAAGGCTGAGCTGAAGATTAGCAAGCCAATACAAAGCAACAGAACCATCAACATACTTAATATAAAGTATGCATACAGGAAATAAAGCAAAAACTAGCTCTGGCTAATGAATAAAATTAGATGGGAATATTTGAGTAAAAGGAGGTTCAAACTTTATCGGAGATTATTAGGAACTAAGGCAGATGGCTAAGCAAAGTGGTTTTAGAATAATATAAGGCTGCATCGTGCATCGTACTAGCCAAAATCAAGGCAATCATAAAAAGAGTTGTAGTATTAATATTTCCTATATAAATGGTTTTCTAAAGCTGTTATTATGCTGAGTGAACAGATTCGCAATAAGGGTATAGAGTTGTGCACGATGAACAAAGCATAATAGAAGATATAAAGACCAAGATGGTGTGGCCTTTTGTGTGGTCGCAGTCTCCTTTCGTTGTGTAGAAGTTGTTTGACCTTG